CCTAACTCTTAGATTGCAATCTGTACTTCATCCTCAATAGAAGCCCCATGAAACAATGAGCTGATTTTTGAATAAAAGTGCATAGGATTAAGCTTTAATTTTTTTAGATAGCTGCATGTATCAAAACTGTGTTAGGTACATCATGGTGTAACAGTATTGAAGGGATAAAAGAAACCAGACACTTTCATGCCAGTTGGTGGCCATTTGTTATACATGTTACTATGTCTGGAATGGAGAGCACTGTGTAAGTGTACAGTACAGATCTGGACTTGATTGCATACCCTTTGTTAAAACTATGCTCATGGGTATCATAACTCCTTTGGGTGAAAAATAGATGGTAAACAAATAGGAGCAGAGATCATACAATAGAATTTGAATAAGAATACTCATCCGACTTCTGATAAGAGGAGGGAGGACATTTACGTGTTTTTCTTTATGGATGTTATTGTGTCCATCTATTGTATATTATTGCAAAATCAATAGAGTAGTTGGGGGATGTTTTTGGAACTGGATAACTTATTTTTGTCTGATAGGACAGGAGTCCCTTAATATACATTAGATTTTACAAAACCCCACCATAGGCACTTCACTTACCCTTCTCGCACCAATCGCTCTTCTTGTTGTTTTCACAGCAAGGTCCCTGTGGTTTATTTTCCTCCACATATTTTCTAAAGAATAATGTAGGGAATGACAGAAGAGGCTGAGTTAAACAACCCAGAGGGGTTCTCATCTTCCTTGGTGCTAACTTTATATCCACACTCATTATGTGAATAGGCTGGTGAAATGTTTCTCGTGATAAATTGGAGCTCTGCATAGGTTATACAGGCTGAGTTCAATTTTCGGTAATGGTATACAATCATCTAGATTGTTATGTTCAGTGCATGGAGCAGTCCTTCATTTAGAGATATTTGAATGCATAAAGCTCTCTAAGAAACATTGCCATAACAAATTTTCTTATTTTAAGGCGGTGTCACAGTACACAAGATTATCCACCTTCCTTCCTTCCTTCCTTCCTTCCTTCCTTCCTTCTCTATTTTGTTAATAACCTCACAAAACATACCTTTCATCCATGCAGTTGCTTGATGAGAGTTAAAACCACAGCACCAAGAAGGGTGCATACTGATAGGCAAGAGATAGATGGTCACGTTTGGTTTAGGCCATTATCATTCATTGTGAAACAAGGCTGTGTGCTCTTCAGTTGAGCTATGACATTCATATTTCAAGCAAAGTCAATTCTTGTTAATAAAGTGATGAGTAACAGCAGCCTAAGCTTCACGCCTGCTAACCAAATGCATTCCCGATACTTAATAAAGGATATTTTCTGGCATAATTAAAATATAATAATATGCTTTGGTATCCCAGGCTCTTCACCCTCTGAAAGAACATAATTTGATCAGTTTCTACATTACAGACACAGCTCCCATACCACACTGTTCTAGTAAGGTTAGATCACTTTGTCGGTCCCTGTGTAGTGTAGTGGTTAAGAGCGGTAGACTCGTAATCTGGTGAACTGGGTTTGCGTCTCCGCTCCTCCACATGCAGCTGCTGGGTGACCTTGGGCTAGTCACACTTCTTTGAAGTCTCTCAGCCCCACTCACCTCACAGAGTGTTTGTTGTGGGAGAGGAAGGGAATGGAGAATGTTAGCCACTTTGAGACTCCTTAGGGTAGTGATAAAGCGGGATATCAAATCCAAACAACAACAACAACTCCTCCTCCTCCTCCTCCTCTTCTTCTTCTTCTCATTCCTCCACATTACTTTTTTCAGGAGTTGTGTCCTCCAAATGTTATTGGCCTACAATTTTCATCATCCATGACTTGGCCATGCTGGCTGAGGCTGATGGTAGCTGGAGTCCCAAAACATATGGGGGGCACAACCTTGGCTACTCCTGCCCTAAATGGCCTTGGACTTGGGTGCCCCCTTTATGAGTTGGACCACAGAGGAGACAACTTGCCACTCCTGTAATGTAAATAGTGTCTCTTGTCTTCTGCTATTGGAACAATCCAGCACAACCACTTCCCACTGATTTCCCATCCAGCCTGCTTGGTGTCAGCTCATATCCATGGCCCACTCCATCTATGTTCGCCAACTACTGTGTATTGGTGATCATTGTCATTTTTGCAGTTTTATAGTTTAGTTTATCTTTAAAGTCTCTCCCCACACTAGCCAAGCTGGACCTTGCATTTGTTATCTAAGCCTTTTCTCTATGTGCCCCCTCCGAGAGGGGTATAGAGGGTGGAGCATGAGCCTTTTCAGTGGTGGCTGACCACTTGTGGAATCCTCTCCCCAGGAAGGCACACCTGGCACCATCATTATCTATATTTAGGCACGTTTCTTTACACCAGGCTTTCGGCCTTTAATTTGAAGGATATACTTGTGGCCTCTTTCTTGCCTATTTTAGTTGTGTGGGTTGTGTTAGTTCATCTCACACACACGTGTTTCTAGGCTTTCATTCTGTTTCAGTGTTTACATATTGCTTTACTGTTTGACTTACATGTTTTTTTGTTTCATGTGTGAACTGAGTCTGCTCGCAAATGCATGTGACAAGAGGTGCACACACTCTTCGCTTTACACATTTGCTGTGCTCCGGTCAAACATCTGAAAAATGGTTGTGAAGTTAAAAATAAAAACCTGTGCAAGATGTGGGCAGGCAGACCAGGATTGTTAGCATTATCTGCTACAAGATATCTCTCTTCTCCACTGCGGTAGGGTTATGGCCCAAAACACATCAGAATTCGCTGTCTTTCATGAGGGGGAAAAATGGTGCAACTGATGGAATTTGTCATCTACTAGAGTGGGCTTAACTCCTGAGATCCTCAACTGTGCTTTGCGAAAAAGCTAGGTTTCTGAAACAGTCTGCCAGCCTGCTCTAGCTGGTTTACGAGACTACACTGTTGCAGATGCTTATCCTTCTGAGACTGTCACGTTAACCTTCAATTTAAAATGCAGCTTCTGTGACTGAAAACGGCTTTGAACTTCAGGTTGATCTTGCCATCCAGCATGTTAAAAATTCAGGCTAAATTGCAACGTTTGGAAGCCACAGACCATTGATTAAAGAGTTGCTTCTCATAAAACTGCTCATTAATGTTCTGTGCGCTATTCAGAGTTTGCCAAAAGTTTGTGGTCTTTCACCTCCTTCTCGCTCCCCTCCCCTCCCCAAATCACCCAGTTCTTTACCACCAGCGCTACCACGATCCTCGCCTGCAAGGAGGAATGAGTGCAGATCTCCTGTGGCAACCTCAAACTTACACAGCCCAGGCTCATCCTTTGATCCCTCCTCACAACTTTATTTCATTATCCCTTAAGTATAAGGAGGAAAGTTAATGACATCATAAAACCCAGAACTCTATAAAAGATGTTTCTGCTGATTTACTGCCAATGTACTAGAAGCATGTCATATAACTGCCCATTAAAGATGGTGAGTTGCTCTCCTGCCTGCAGCTTTTCCTTATCACCAGCCCTTTTATTTATGACCAGATTATAGGGGGTGGGTGTGCACCATAAATCACAGAGCTTAGTTTTTATGGCACATATAATTAACCCTTTAATTATTGCATTAAGGCAGAACTGTGTGACTTTCATAAATATATATATATATATATATATATATATATATATATATATTTATATTCACAGGGATTAGCATATTCAGGATACAAAGGTCCTGGATTTATTTTGCTTTATCTTTTTAAACATTAGATCAGTGCATCTAATCTATCTATGCATTGCTAGTAGTTACATGCAGAAATAAATGGTACAGTCCTCCAACCTGGAGCCAGGAACCCCATAGCCTTAAAGTAGTAAAAACAGACAAACAAACAGTAAGTGGCAGGACATTCCTACCTTGGGGCATCTTGCTCAAATCTTGCTGACGTTTGATATTCTAAGTACATACAGTACATTTATAGCACATTATTTCTCTCAAATAATCATGGGAACTGTAGCTTAGCCCCTACCTAGCAATAATTCTCAGCACTTAACAAACTATAGTTCCAACAGTTCTTTGGGGAAAGTCACATGCTTTAAATGTATGGTATGTAAATAGCCTTACTTTAAGTAGAAATGAGCCGCTTCTCAGATGGGAATAGCCAAGCAGGCTAGTCCAGCCTTGATCTCCTGGAGACATTATCAGATTTAAACAGGGTGTAGTAAACGCACAGTTTCTCTTGTAAGGAATATGAAAATGGATTCAGCTCTATAACACAGGGCCCATACCTTACTGTACATCTGGATTTTGGCTTAAGTCTAAATGTTCATACTTGCTTGTGATGCTGTTCATAATCTTTAAATATGAGGAAGTCATAGTACTATTCACATCAGCTGCAATTGTCCATACTGTATTATCTTTATTTGCTCCTGGAAAGTTACAATTGTTTAGGATGATCATGTTTCCTGCTATAAACAAGACAGCCCTCTGCTTGAAGAGTCTGCTCTACCATGAGCCATGTTGACTCAGATGGCAGATTGGGAGGGTCTCAGATTTTGAACCCACCACCATCTCATCTGCTGACTTCAGGACCACCCATGAGGCACAACTGATGTTGCTTTCACCTGTGAGTCCTTCCTCAGAGCAAAGATTTGTGGGTGAGTTTGGCCAGAGAATATCTGTACTACCACTGCTTTGAAACAATGGTGGGAAATGACCACTTAAAGTTACCTTGAGGCGAAGTGGTGGTGATGCAGGCATTCTCCGGGCCTTTTCACCCACAATACCTCATTCTCAAAAAGGACCACTCAGAGCAAAGCATAGAAGGCCAAGAGCAGGAGGATGAGATGTGGCAGAAGAGATGGTAGTGGTGAAATGGTCCCCATATCAAGTGGCTCAACATTGTCTACCCTGACGGGCAGCAGTTCTTCATGATTTCATGATGGGGGTTCTCTCCCAGCTGTACCTGGAGATGCTGGATATTGGACCTGGAACTTCCAGCATGCAAGCCAGGTGCTTTACCATTGAACTACAGCCATTTCCCCAACCAGGAAAGCAGACTGAGCAATTCGAAGGCTTGGATTGCTTAGTTGGGAGAGCATGAGACTCTTAATTTCAGGCTTGTGGGTTCGAGCACTACAGGGGATTGGACTAGATGACCCTTGTGGTCCCTTCTGAATCTACAGTTCTTTGATCTTTGAAACAGGCACATGGTTTACCTGATCATAGTGTTGTGGTGGTTATAGTAATTATAGTAATTAATTCTAAATGAATGCTTATACAGTGGAACCTCTAGTTACGTACCGCTCCGGATATGTAACTTTCGGGTTACAAACGCTGCAAACCAGGTTTCACCGCATGTGCCATATAATTCCAGGTTTCACCGCATGTGCATTCGCAGAAGCTCTCAATCAGTGAGAGCCAGTGTGGTGTAGTGGTTAAGAGCAATAGACTCGTAATCTGGTGAACCGGGTTCGCGTCTCCGCTCCTCCACATGCAGCTGCTGGGTGACCTTGGGCCAGTCACACTTCTCTGAAGTCTCTCAGCCCCACTCACCTCACAGAGTGTTTGTTGTGGGGGAGGAAGGGAAAGGAGAATGTTAGCCGCTTTGAGACTCCCTAGGGTAGTGATAAAGCGGGATATCAAATCCAAACTCGTCTTCTTCTTCTTCAAGCCCTATGTGTGCGCAGAAGCAGCGCCTCTGCCTGTGGACGTTTTGGGTTGCGGCCGGACCCCCAGAACAAATTTAATTTGTATCCAGAGGGTCCACTGTACATATAAATTAATGTATGTAAATGTTATGTAAACATCTACCTTGGGGGGCATAATACACTCCCTACTGTTTTTGTTTTGAGTGATATTTTTATGATGAATCGCTAGGTGAAAATGAAAAGTTATGTTGCATATCTAACAGGTGCCAGCTACTTTTGTGAAGTTAAAATTCCACCTATCAATTACCCAAACTTGGTTTCCCAGATTCAAAATATGGTACTGGGGAAATTTCCTAGTACTGGGTAAAATATGATATCCCTGCAATAAAAATACATCCCCCCCAAAAAAGTTTGAACTGTGCACTTCAAGAGGGCATTAATGGCTCTAAAACCTGCTCACTCAACAATTGTTATGGACAACAGTTGCTCAGCAAAATTAAAAAGAAACCAAAGCCTTCTATTTTCGCCATGGCCAATTTAACTGCCCTGCACAGCATAGTTACCTCTGCATTGATTGCTTTCGCTGAGAGTAAAGAGAAGCATTTCATAGCAAGTTCAGCGTTGTAATCCTCACCCATGAATTTAGAATTTCATCATGCAATATTGACAGCAAGCCACAGGAAAGCTTTATCGGAACAAAAGTTGTCATAAATTGATAACAGATCATCTTGCTTTAGTCCAGCCAGGAAAAAGTGGCTCATGGATTTTCAGTTTCTTTCTCTTTTATTTCTTTGGCACATGGACAAAAGGTTGTTGGGGGGTGGGGAGGAAAAGCAGCCACTTATATTGCTGCTTTTGAGCTCTGTTTTCCCTTTGTGTGTTATGAAACAAGAAAGAGTCCAAGCAGGGAAGTTATAAAGAAAAATAATCGAGGAAGGAAGCTAGGAATGAGCTCCCAGAACTTCGTTGTTGCTGTCATGATTTACGTAGCACACACCTCCCCTCTTGCCAACACTAGGAGAACAGACTTTGAGAGGAATAGCATTTTTTTTTTTTAAAAAAAAAGGTAAGGTGGCTTTGCATACAGACCAGATTGTGAATTACTGGATTCTTTAAACCAGACATAGGACATCTTCCTAAGGATGTCTTCAGATAGAGGGCTCTCCTATAAGGCAAGATACATGGGCACCCAGACAGCCCTCCAAAGAGAGTACTGGCAGCGGCGAAGCGTGGGTTGTCAGCACCCAGGGCAAAGCAAGTAATTTGCGCCCCCTAACCCGGGGCAAGGCAAGTAATTTGCGCCCCCTAACCCCTAACCTGTCGCCGCTGCCAGCTTCTTCTTGCTGCTGCCTGGGCTGGGGTATTTACGGTAAGGTAGCCACGGCGGCGGCGGCGGGTCCGTGTCAGGTGATCTGAGGCGAGTTGCCGCTGGCGCTGCCGCCCAAACAACGCCGCTTGCCCAGAGGAGGAGGAGGGCAGAGAGGCGAGGAAAATGCAACATGGCCCAGCAGCAGCAGCGGCGGCGGGGCTGTGAGGAGGGGCTGCCTGGCGCGCCGGGACCGCGGCGAGCGCTGAGAGCCGCTGCCAGCTCGTCGGTTCCGCGAGACATGGGGCTCTGCTACAGCCTGCGCCCGAGGCTCTTCGGAGACTCCGGAGGCGGCGAGCGCGCCCCCCCCCCGATGTTGCGCCCGGTGCGGCCGGCCCCCCTTGCACCCCCCACGCTACGCCACTGAGTACTGGCCTTGGTAGAGTTTGACAAAGGCCACCCTACTGCCATGGAGACCCACAGGTGTAGGAGAGGATCTTCCTAGTGGACATTTTGCTGACGGTCACCTGAAACCTGAGGATGGTCCTGGCACCTTTTCCCTGAAAACTAAGGCCCTGCAACCAGTTGAAGTAGTTTTCTCGAAAGCTATTCAAATCATGAAGGCTGTTGAAAACTGAAGGGGGAAAAATCCTGTTTCCCAACCAAAACTGTCTAAGCCGGAGCTTTCCAAGCTTTTCATGTTGGTGACACACACTGAATTCGTGACACAGTAATTTGGTTTTACTAACAAACCCGAGGTTAAACTATAACCCCTTATAAGAGATATGGACACATATTGTGCGACACACCTACACACTGCAGCCGACACACTAACGAGTCACAACACACAGTTTGGAAAGCTCTGGTCTAAGCATTTAACAATGAAACTTCCTCACTGTGAGATGTTTACCTAGCATGAGAGCAAAAGAAAATAAGAAAGCAAAGTATGAGTGCTGTTCAACAATAATAAAATGCTCTCTATTTGCAATGTAAGAATTCCTCAATTAATTCCATACCTCGAATAATACATACCCCCAAGCTAGCCATCTGCTCAAATTTAAGCTGGAAGATAATAGATTTGGAAGAGAGGACTGTAATTATTTGCTAGGTGATTCTGATTAATTTACAAAGTAAAGTGCTAATACTGATCACATAGTACCCCCTTTGGGCCAAGTGGAAATTGCATTATAGCAAAAGGGGGGAATGTAAATTATAGATGGCAAACCAAATCTTGCAAGCTCGTTGGACAGTTTTAATTATGGATGGCACACAATTTTGCAAACTGATTGAACTCTTTCATCATGTTAAGGCACTAATGAATAGCTGAACCATGGTGTGCTTTGTACAACTGACACTAGTGGCCAAAATTGTGGCAAACCTTTGGAAAATATGTATTTCTGAGGTTTCATAGAATCATAGAATTGTAGAGTTGGAAGGGACCCAAGGGTCATCTAATCCAAACCCCTGCAATGGTTCATAACATCAGTCTTTTCTAGAATAATACCATAAAATTATATGTCATTAGAAATATAATCTAATGCAGAATTTAATGGAAGAAACTTTATTCTATCAAAGGTTATAGCCAAATAAAAGACCCTATACACAAAATAACCATGATAAGGAGTATTTCATAACTTCAAACCATTTCTTTTGGTACTTCGTGTGAAACCTTTTGCTGCAATTACAAACATGTCCCATGGAGTAAACCAAGGATTTTAATTTGTCAGGTGTTATAGTGTGAAATTGGGGGACGCACGTAGTGCTGTGGGTTAAACCACAGAGCCTAGGACTTGCCGATCAGAAGGTTGGCGGTTCAAATCCCTGCGACGGGGTGAGCTCCCGTTGCTCAGTCCCTGCTCCTGCCAATCTAGCAGTTTGAAAGCACGTCAAAGTGTAAGTAGATAAATAGGTACCACTCCAGCAGGAAGCTAAACAGCATTTCCGTGCGCTGCTCTGGTTCGCCAGAAGCGGCTTAGTCATGCTGGCCACATGACCCGGAAGCTGTATGCTGGCTCCCTCGGCCAATAAAGCGAGATGAGCGCCGCAACCCCAGAGTCGGTCACGACTGGACCTAATGGTCAGGGGTCCCTTTACCTTTTATAGTGTGAAATGTAGATTGTATGATTGCTTCTGCCAATTTGTGCTTTATTCCTTGGTTGCTTCTGACTAATAAGTTTCTTTAACCGGCTCTACATATTTTCTATATATTTCTATATTTTCAATGTAAGGGCTATTACATTGCTTTCTAGGTGACCAGTCAACTCTTTCCACTCTGTTTGTCATTGGTCAGTTTTGAGTTAAGGAAATCCCCTTCCTGTTATGTAAGGCAAGTTGTGCTTTCATTTTCTGATTATTTGGCTATAACTTTTGATAGAATAAATAGAATTCAGCACAGGCTGTTGCATTACATTCTGCATTAACTTATCTTTTAAATTATATATAAGTTTTGAATTACTGCAGAAGTTTTGGACTGTAACTGGATTAAAGTTTTTAGCTGTAACTGTTTTTAGAATGGTTTAATTGTTTTAGTATGCTTGTTGCTTTTAAAAAGAAAATGTGGATGTGCTTTCTACCCTGGGCCCCTTTGGGAGGAAGGTGGGGATATAAATTCAAAAGATTACTAAATGAATTCACACTCAGCATGGCTAATGGGCAGGGCTGCTGACTGTGGTCTAAAACCTATGAAGGGCACCAGTTTGGAGAAGGCTGACATATTTTAAATCTGTTTATTTCACCAAGGGTATTTTTTGTCCAACAATGGAAATCAACAGAAATACCAAACATTATATCATAGTGTGTGGTTGGGGTTTTTTATACTTGTTTGTTAATTATGGATTCAGAGCAAACCCATTGCAATCAATGAAAGGTTACAAGCTGATACTTGAACTGGTTACTCTCCTGTTAGAGAGAAAGACTTTATGTCTAGCAGGTGGAGGGGAGTTTAATACAAACATCAACCAAATAATCTTGACATGTACCTTGATGTGGTCAATGAACCCTTGATCTTTGCCATCTTTTTCCTCTGAAATTTTGCAAGTACTAAGTTTGCATTAGTTTGCATCTGACCATTTTGCATGTGAATATAGGTTTTCAGAACATCAGTCACCTGATCATTTGTAAGCAGCTTCTAATCCCCTGCAAATTTCTCTTTTTGATATAGAAATGAGACCTCTGAACCCACAGTAACTTAAATTGCAATTTACCAGATGTAGTTGGATGCATTAGATTTTGAAATTTCCCAAGTTAAAAGTCCTAATGGTTTTTTGCATTAGAAGATTATTACATTTAGATGCAACACCTTAGCAATCTACTTTTGGTAAATAACTGTCCTTGACGCAGCAATAGTGACTCTTTGCATATTCAGTAGGAATAAAATTACTGTGAGGAAGAGTTTACTGCTTTTAGGAATTATCTGCTTTTAAAGTTGTTTGCTAGAGATAAAAGCGAAATTTGTATGCTTTTGTCCTATACATTGTTATCATCCCCCAATTTTTCTAGGTGATATTAAGGTTGACGGGGAGACCATGTTCACTCACAATTCAGGAATAAGTGGATAGAAGGGGACTCTAATTCTTCATACTGTAGGAGAATGCTCACTGTAAAAACCACATTTTATAATAGTAGACCTTTCTGTTCCCTCATTCAAAGTGCATTAGGGTTGATTCTGCTACATTAATTGTGGCTGCTTCTTTCACCTGTCAGTTCATACATTGCTTTCCAATGTAAAGTGTGTCCTGAGCACACAAATATCATGCCAGGTATATGCAGGGATATACATGTGTGGGAGACACTAGACAATATCCAAGTATTTTCTACATTCAAATGGGACTCCTTAATAACAGATTACTTTCAGATTTGTCCCTTAAAGTTACATTTTAAAAACCGCAGCATTTCTGGCCATGACCTCTGATCTCTGTCTTTGATTTGACCGGTGATTTAGTTAGTTTTTATTCTTAATTTAACTTTTTACCTAGACTCATAAAATTGTAGAGTTGGAAGAAACAAGGGTCATCTAGTCCAACCCCCTGCAATGCAGGAATCAAACCTTCCCTAATTGTCATAGCTGAGGGCAGCAAGCAGGGAGTAGAGGAGGCCGTCATTTTCGTTTCTCTCAGTTTGTCTTTTCCTCCAATCTTAAATTTGGCTCACCCATTTCCACATACATTTCTCTGTGTGCTTTTCAAGCCAGCGTGGCAATTTGTATGTATGGTTAGAGAACAGCATCACAAAATTTGGAGAAGTGTGAATTTCAAAGGAGAGCTGTGCTTGTATGATAAAAGTGGAATTAGAGCAAATTAGAAGTGTTTGCACTAGCCTAAATGTTCATAAAAGCAATGCATTTATTCTGATATAATATTCTATAATATATTAATGTATTCATTCTCATGATTTGATAAGTCATACCAGTATTTTCCTTGCTATTTGTTTGTAGTTCCTATTCTTGCGGGGGTGGGGGAGATGTTAAATAAAATAATAAAAAGCAGAGCTGCATTTGAGTTTGTGTATTGGTTCAAGAAGTGCAAATTTGGTAAGTTCTCATTAAAATACGAACTTTCCCCTTAATATCTGATTTAATAAGACTCTGCATATTGCAGTTTCAGGGTGGGGGAGATTCATTCAATACATGTTTCGTGAAGCACTGCTACGCCAATGGACTACGCCATAGGATGGGGAATGTTTTTGATGTATATTTTTAAAAAACAGACTCATAGCTGGTGTGTTTCTACCAAATTTGATTTTAATTGGTACAGATTACATGTGAATACTCATTACTATTAGTCCTCTTTGCTTCTGTGAAAATAATATTCCCATTTTCTTTATTGATCTTGGATCAACTGATCTTGGACTTTCTATGTTGTAAAGTAATATCTAATTGTGCATCGCAGATCTATAATGGTGCCCTTAAGCTCTAGTAATGCCTGTATCTTGTCTGGATGGAGGACAGGGAGGGATGTGGGAGTGTGTGCAGAAACTAGCCTCAAGACTGGTCCACCCTTGTTCCTGATGCAGATCTTCACTCATTCCTTCTTCTCTGGCTGTGTGTGCGGGGGTGGGGGCATTTTGTAGTTTGCTACAGGTGCAAGGGTGGCACTGTGGGTTAAACCACAGAGCCTAGGACTTGCCGATCAGAGGGTCGGCAGTTTGAATCCCCGCGACGTGGTGAGCTCCTGTTGCTCGGTCCCTGCTCCTGCCAACCTAGCAGTTTGAAAGCATGTCAAAGTGCAAGTAGATAAATAGTTACCGCTCCGGTGGGAAGGTAAACGGCGTTTCCGTGCGCTGCTCTGGTTCGCCAGAAGCGGCTT